CTCCTTCCCTGTCTCGGGTAGAGAAAGCGGATCGATCGCCGACCCGATGGTTTAGGCCACTGCTTTATTTATCTGGCCAGGCAATGATATTATCAGCCTTGAACGTTATATACCGCAAACGTCTTCCTAAATCAACACAAAAGGATCCGCTTACGCAGCAATCTGCTCTCACCCGCGCGCGTTCTCGTGGACGCGCGCTTTCACGCTCACAAGCGTTCGAGAAATCCTTCAGAAAGGAGAAACATGACCAAAGCTGACGTATTGCTATGACAACCTGCACAAACGTTGACGCACGCACGCAAGCACGCGCGCCCGCGGGCACGAGGAGTTGGCCCTTTGTGTTGCATTCAGGGACCTTCTAAAAAAACAAAAAAAACAGCAGGGACTCCGATTTGGCTGCACGCTGGGTGATATTACAAATCATGTTTGTCGTCATCGTAGGCGTGTACAATCAATACGCGCGTAAATAAACATCGGTTGTCTAGTCTTTTTGTTTGTTTGTTTGTTTGTTTGTTTGTTTGTTTGTTTGTGTAAAAGAGTGCAATCAGGAGGCTGAGTGACATTTTTTTTTACGTGTCAGAAGAAAAGTACACGAGGAATAAAACATACGCAGAAACGTACTAAAACTTCAAATGGAGGCCCGAGTTGTGTTCCGACTGAACAAAGCGGCCGCCCTGCACGCACTGAAAGGCAGAAGACGACCTGGGCCCGCTGACATGTTGAGCTATAATAAATGTTCCTCTTTCAGGCAGACACCTCAAACGTGAAATCGCATCCAGCTGCTTGCGTAAAAAGCAAGCTAATAGTGGCTCGTGTTGGGAGTCCTCCACTTGTATGGGCTTTGATGAATGAAAGCAGACAACGCTAAATGATTGTTTAACTCTCTTTTTAGGCCATCCTAACTGGAGCTTTCCTCAACGCTGGAGGCCTAAAAAAGGGGACGCGCATCTCCCGAAAGTACTGTCGACTCTTTCGTCCAATCATTTTTTTTTCTTGATGTCATTGTGTTTATTGATATTTACATACCATTAGGTATTCATTTGACGAGTGGGCATATTTTGGAATACATCACGTTGCGACGTCGAAGATGGCTTTCCTCGAGTCCTGTGGTGTGTGTTTTCTCGTATCGCCCGTACCCAAACATTAATTAGCAACACATGCCACGATTTCATCTGCCGCTCTCTTTATATAGCCCGTAGTGTAACAATTGCACAACAAAATGCTCTCAGCGAGAGGATAAAAGATGGTTATACTCTGGAGGGATTTAGAATACATTATGTTGGAGACAAGCAGCTGTACGCTGCGTTTAATAACCCAGCAAACCATTTAGTCCACGGCAACATAAAACGACAACGACCTGCCTGCCTGCATGGGCTTTTTGTCATGCTCCTTTTGAAGCCAAACAAACATCGTAGTCCCGCATGCAATCAAGCAGGGGAACAGCTGAAGGGGGAGGGGGGGGGGGGCACAACCAGAATATTTCCTCGATATCATGATTTCGCGTGTTTCTAACTCTTGTACGGCCAAAAGCAGAATCGCACGCAGAAGCCAGTAAACAATAAGCAACCAGTTTACAGAAGCGCCTCACAAGACGCTTGACCCGAGTCGATTGGATATCGGTTCACACATTTATCATCACTTGAGGGAGCATATGAGGACAAGTCTTATACGTACATTCCTTAGACAGAATAATACCAGCAATGCAGGCAGATAAAGCGATGACACCCCCCCCCTTTCAAAAATAAAAGAAATCCCCCCAAAAAAGAAATGACAAACACAGTTAGGCGACAATCGCACACGACGACGTGATGCGTTCACTTGTCCCCCGTCATCACACTACCATAACGTGGGCCATAAGGCATACGCAAGCAACACGTCTGATGATTAAGAATGGGCTGCTGCTGCTCACAGGCAAATGCATTAAATGTCACACCCAAACGTGGCTTTTTGTGTGAGTTTAGTGTGTGTGATGTGTTGCGATAAAATGTGTCACTTTTGCCCATCAAGGTGGAAATGCAATGACAGCGAGAGTACATGCAACTGAGACTCGTGTGTATGAGTGTGTATGCGCTACAGTGCACGCACACGCACGTTCACATAGGCTGCATCATCACCACCCATCGTGCTTATGTCAAATATATTTTCCATATTGATCACGACTGCATCAGCAGGAGGAAAAATCCTTCACAGAATAAAATAAATACATTTGATTATCTTTTGGCAAGTGACGCCCACGTTAATAATAAAGTATAAGCGCGATCAAGGCTAATGGGGCGAATTTTTGAAGCGAGGGAAATTTAGGAAGTGTGTGTGTGTGTGTGTGTGTGTGTGTGTGTGTGTGTGTGTGTGTGTGTGTGTGTGTGTGTGCAAGGGGGTCGGAGTACAAAACCAAGGTGAGCCTGCTGTGATTTTTTTTATTATTATTTTGCTTGTATCGTGTAGAGCCATTCCAGGACAACTAGTGCCGTGTATAACTTGTTTTCACTGGTGCAAATAGGGAATTTCAATTTCAGGCTGCATTCAAGAGCGAAAATGTGGCAAAGAAAAGTGAACGGATGGAGGAAAATTGCTTGCGGACAGACATCGTTGCCTATTTGTCTTTTAATAATACAGTCACCATCACACAACTTCATCAATCGAGCCTTTCTGCAAAAAAAACCCCAAACAAACAAAAGAAGCTGCATCCTGGAGTAAGCAAATTGAAGGCAACAACCCATCAGGTTCGAGAAACAATGATTTTTTTTTTCCAAAGACGAAACAAACAAACAAAAAAAGTATTTGAAATGATATATTAAAAGTGCTTTTTGATTTTTCATGTCTCTCCTCTTTGACTGATGATCAAACTCATGGCCGACGGGGGGAGATGGGGGGGCGTAGGGGGTGCAAGGTGGGTGTAGGGGAGAGGAGGGGCGGGGGTCCCCAGATGTCCTGTCAGTAAAAATGTCCTGGGGGGTGAGGGTGGCCTGGGTGGTAAGCGGTTCAGTTTGTTGTTGCAGGTCCATCGTGTTGGGAAAAAAAAGTTCAACCATCAGTGGTGATATTGTCATAGCGATTAGACTTGTTTCTTATTGTCTAGATTTCTTAATTTTTTTTTTTCCTGGGTTTTTTTTTTTTTTTTTTTTTTTTTTTAAGATTCTCACTTCAATTTTAATTCTTGGAGAACATAGCTTCGACAACATATACCGCACTCATTATAAGAAGCAAAAGGTTATATCAAAAATTATTAGTATAGAATCACAGAAAGCCTGGTTTAGAACCAGAAAAAAATACAAAACAGAGAGAAGTACATAGACACAGGACAAATTCTTATAATTGCTTGGAAACATTATATTCCCGCTAAGTCTTGATTCTTTTTTTTTTCTTACTGCGCATATGATGTTTTTCCTTTTGTTTGCAATTTTTCTTACAAAAAGAAAAGAAAATAAAGACTAGTATTTTACAAAATGACGAGTATTGTTCTTGAAGGTGAGGGCGGATTTACACAGGTGTAAAGTCCAGTTCCAATATTTTTCTGTACATATTCCATCTCAGTCCCAGAAGACAGGGGGGTGGGTGGGGAGGAAGAAAGGAGGCAAAGGTCTTCCAAAGTTGTCAAGAAAAAGTCTGATACGTATAGTCTTCTTAGAGGATGGGTGCTGAATTTTGGTCCTTGTCCTCTCTTTTTTTGTGTGTGTGTGTCATTACAAGCATCATTGGATGGACATGTAAGGCCAGTTGAAGCTGCTCCCGGATAATAGCATATCCCTGATGAGCGTTTCAATAGGAGTTTTACCTACCAAGCGGACGAAGAAGAGCTGCTCGATGACCGACGAGGACACGGTGCGGAGGGAGGGCAGCCGCAGCAGAAGCTTGCCAAAGCGGCTGGGCTGGTTGGGGTACTGGCTGCGCACGTATTCCTCCAGGGCGCACTGGGATTTCTCCTGCAGGCTCTCGATGTGGGCAGCGTCCGACAGGCCGCAAGCGTCTGCGGGGAGGGCGACGCCAAAAGCACAGCGCGTGGTCAGCACCGGACGCCAAACTTTCATTTTTTTTTTTTCAATAGCGGGCGTAAATATTCTCGTTGCTTCGCAGCAAAAGATACGCATGAGTCAAAATGAACTCCGAATACAAATACATATTTAGCATAAAGCTAAGCAAATGGAAAAGCTTGGAAAAAAAACAAAACACTTGGCATGACAATGTGTGCCTGCTTGACGTATTTCACTCTGCGACCCAATAAAAACACACCCTAATTCGAGGGAAGCGTTTCAAGATGACTTTCGACTAAAGAGAGAAAAAACGACATCGGGTTTTTTTTTTCGGAATTATTTGTGTTTGCAGGTGGAGTTCTATTTGTCTAATACGTAATTGTTCCATTGTGAATAATAGGAGCACGCCAAAAATATAGTTTCTGCAGCGCATTTCTGAAAATACATTTTCAAACATTTAATTTGTCATCCCATTTATTGAGACAACAATGATACTTTTATTTTTATTATTTTTTTTGGAATGTATATAAGCACACCACGGGACCTCCAGCTAGTCTCAACTGAAGCAGAAAGCTTTGGCAAACATCCTGTCAGGAGCACTCCGGTCATCATTCAGCATGACTCCTTCTTGACTTCGTGGAGTGCACTGCACAAATATGCTGCATCACACTGAGCCGGTGCAACTGTCATTCATGCAGCCTCAACAAGAATGGCACGCACGGTAACAAATAAGAACAGAGCAAGTGTGCAGAAACATGTGATTATTATGATTATTATTTTTCAATTTTGGAGTGAGGTGAGCATGCGAGGACCCAAAGGCCGGCGTGCTCTTGATGTCTGCACTCTGGAGATTCAAGTTTTAAGGAAACCCAAACGGTCCTGATGAATGTGAAATTGCTCTGCTTGTAATGTGACCTAATTACTCTGCAGTAAGCTGTTAAGTCATTTTGCCTCTTCTCTCCATAGACCACTCTGGCCTGTTTTTTTTCCTCCCCCTCCACCCTCACCCCCTCATCCAAACCCGGGAGCCGATTGCAGTGCATGGCCGCTCGAAGCAATCACATTTATTATAAGAGAAAGAGGGAGGGGAAAGCCAATAGTCACTTCAAGAGAACATAAAAAGTGCAAGAATGAGCTGTTGAAATATCTGTGTTGTGTTTCTGTTCAAGCGAACAAACTCCAACTGGAGATAGAACCAGCGGTTTGAAAACAAGGTGCCACAGCATGCATGTCTTGGATGGCGTATATGAGCCGCTTTTGCACACGACACATATCATTGGGGGCGAGGAAAGGCGAGGATACTGGGGCTGTGCTTTTGAGCCTCTTGGTGAGTTGCGGGCTATAACTCAGTGTGGCCCAGACACAATAACCTTGTGAACCCCGGGGCAACCCTGCGATCTCGGGGTGATTTAGTGTGACCTTAGCCAGGCCGCTCAAAGAAGCATGTATGCAAATCCTTTCGGATTAAGGCTGAGTGTCCCTTTAAAGCCAAAGCAGCCAATATGCTTTAACTCCATCCAATCGAGATTTTTGGTCCTTTACAATGACATGCAGGTGAGATTAAAGAAAAAGAAAGAGACAATAGTTGGAGGATAGAGATGAATGCGTCTGCATGGAAAGCTGCACACACTGCTAAATACTCAATCAGGCCTAGGTGCCCGTCTGTGTGTGTGAGTGTGTGTGTGATGTGGCGTGTGTGTGCGTGTGTGTGTGTCCTGCACCCTACTCCAACAATACACCCTGACATGGGAGCACACACACACACACACACACACACACACACACACACACACACACACACACACCAACACACACTTGCAAACCGCTATTTATGCAGTTTAGTGAAGGCCCAGTGTACATGTCAATAAGGGGCTGATGTCAGTCAACTGTGTTGAAACACGACCACCATTATTTATGCATCAAATAGTGACGGGAATGGGGTTATTTATTTAAGGCAAATAATCCACGTCGCTCCTGGCAAAGCGCAACGCAGGAGCAACCTGCTTTTGGGTGCACCCCACCACCACCCAACGCACACACGATCAAGTCCAACCAACAAGCAAACTCAGCGAGCCTCCGTAAAACATGGACACGTTCCGTCTCTTCGTTTTGCGCTAATTTGAGGTGGAAAAGTCGCCACGAAAAAGAGGAAACAATACACAAGTTGAATATGGCGAATACGCGTGATGCTACATACCGCCTGTGGTATACTGTCTATCGTCTATATATTTATCCCATTTAGCATTACTGATGTGCGGATATGCTTTATTCGGTGAAATGGAAAAAGTACATGTTTGTGACGATTTAGTTACTTCAAGTCCAACGTAGACACAGATCTTGCATTTCAGTCATAATATAATATAATATAATATAATATAATATAATAGCGCCATTAGTAGGCTACCAGTACAAAACAGCGGCCGTTTAATTCACTCTAGAGTACCATTTTATTGGATACAATTAAAATTTTGAATTACATAATCTAATAAATTAATTATTTAATCCGTGATCATAATCTCGGTTTCATACACGATCAAAAGAAATGAATAATGCACTCCACAGGCGATTTGTATTATTGTCTCGATCTTTTCGTTGATTGTCTCCCATTTTCCACTTGTATGGTATGACATTTGCATGACTGACCTACTCAAGATATGTTGGGAACAGTTATATCATGAAAAGGTGTCAAGTTAGAGCACATCATAAATTTGGGCTTATCAGTGATGTGCTCCCGGGTGACACAATTGGACCATGGAAAAAAAAAAATGTGAATGACGACACAGTTTTAGGAATGTTTCGATCAGTTCTCGGCACGTAGCACTCAAACGTCTCATGGCTTATCTGAGCAGCTGTCAAGATTACTGATTTTAATGGACTGCAGGAAAGTGATGGAAATATCCCGACTTCTGTGTCCTGGAACATTTTATGTTTGTGATGATACGTAGTGTACGTGGTTAAAGTTCAACCTTTGATGTAGCATTTCGAGATGGAAGCCGTTTCGGGATAATAATTGACATCAATAAAAAAATAAATAAATAAAAAAAAACCAACAACTAAAAAAAACATTAATAACAGTAATTGTTGACTGATGTGCCCTTGAGCAAGGCACTGACCCCCAAGCCAATCCATGTGCCGCCCCATCACTGTCATTTAACCTTAAAGTAGTCAAGTGTGGTACACAAGGAATTGTTCAATTGAATGTTGAAAATGTGCATAATGTTAAAGTTGTGTGACAGTAATGTTGATTGTGAAGGCCTTGGGCAAATTAGATTGACACGGCAACAGAGGCTGAAATCTGATTGGACCAAAAAAAAATGTAACAGCCACATAAGCAGTACATCTGTTGTTCGAATAGACTGAAATGTGGGCACTCCACAGTGTTGTGTACATTTATGTTATACTGTATGTTCGACCTCACTTCTTGTTGTTTCTCCAAATGTTTCTGTATTTTTTAATGTCATACATTTGAATTTTACCTGACATGAATTGTTTGCTGCCAATGCACTGCAATTGTTTCATATTTTTCTCTGAAGAAATAATGGAAAAGGGGTTCCAGGCAATGAACTTTTCCATCATCAAAATAGGAACAGGTAGTGTTTTTTTGTTACATTTGAACACTGATCATTGTCATGTGCAGCACTCCACAGGCGATTTGTAAAAAAAAAAAAAAAAAAACTGTACAAGATTAAGAGTTTGTTTTCCTTTTTTTTTTTGAAACAAGTGTGCCTCTGAAACAAAAACTTGTGACTGAGTTGAAGTAGAAGTTTGCGGCCTGTGTGAGTTTCAACTTTGTGTTTTTCCTTCCTCGGGACGTTTTGCAAGAGCCAGCCATCGATTCATCTTCTCAAATAATATATGAAGACAACAATTCTAAACGAGATCTGCTGTTTCATACGACGATGTTTGACCGCACGGTGTGAGTAGTTCAATGCATCCGGAAACATCAGCCTCGTGAAATGTTACACCATCTTTTCCCCCCTCTAATGGATTATTTTTCTGTCGTGTTTGTGGTCACAAACGTGCCAGCTGTCACGCACTGATGGACTCTTTCACCTTTCGGGCACATTTGTTTGACATGTGTACTGAGCATTTACGGCCGCTCATTTGTCCTCTCTTCAAAATAAACACAAACTGCGGCCTATGAAATTATCAACGCGCGTACGAGCGTGGAATAGTTTCCCAATGATTTTAGGCTTTGTGTGCGCCTCTTCTTTTTTTGTACACCATGGCCTGAGCTGACAGGAGAACGCATCTCAGAGCTCACTGTTAACAAGACAAATTTATCCCACGTGAACGCCAACCACGTCGTCAAGTTCCATTTGCGGCTCCCATTTTGTTTGTGTTGACGAGTTGACGCGCGGCCACAATGGGCCCCTGCGCGTGCACGCGCTCGTGCTACCCACCTGACGTGAAGAGCACGATGGCCTTGAGGCAGCTGTACTCTGCCGAGTCTACGTGCAGGGTTTTGAGCTTCTCCACTTGCTCCTGGAAGATCCGGATGTGGTCCATGAAAGCCACGACGCGGTCCGCGGACATGGGCGAGGCGTGCAGGCCCGCCGCGGCCAGCAGAGGGGCCACGTGAAGGGGCATGGAGCACTGGGCGGCATTAAGCACAAACAACTCGCTCCACGTCAGCCTGAGAAGGGACACCTGGTCGGTGATCTGCAGGTCGGGAAAGAAAGGGATGTTTCTGGCCCACTCCACGGCGCTGAAGAGCAACCGAGCCGCCAGCTCGCAGATGTTCTCGATGCCCATGATATTGTTGGGCTGCATGCACTGGCTCCCGTACCGGGACGTGGGGTAGGGCTCGGCCCGCAGCAATAACGAGATGTATCCGGACAGATAGCAATGGCCGTTGAGGGGGTCCCCGTTGGTCAGCGCGTACTGGCCTGGGTTGGGCTGGGTTGGAGGCATTCGTCCTCGCTGAACCGCTGACAAAAAGAAAGAGAAGAAGAGGAAATGTGCATCCAGGACTGACAAACATTGTTCACCGGCAACGTTGCACGACGAGCTTCTGGTCGGTCTGTCTGTGTGAGTGTGTGTGTGTGTGTTTCGATGTGTTGTGAAAGCGCTGCTGCGAACTTCAAACTAAAACACACCGGTGCCCATTTGTAACATGGAAATGTCATTGAAAACTGCTTAAACGTCCACAATGTCACACACACGCTTCCAAACACACTACGGGAAATATTCCACATTTACGGCAATTGTTGTTATTTTTTTTAAATCCTTAATTGGACAGTCCATGACGCGAACTTAAGCCGTTGATCACATTTATATTGACGTGTGCTGTTTCGCCACAGCAACGATACTTCTAACAGTCAAACAAATTGCAGCCGAGACTGATAATTCTCGCTCTAAATTGTGCCGTTTTTGAATTTCATGCACATCAAAGCATCACTTGGAAATAAAAGGATTCCTGCCATCGCTTTTGAATATTAATAACACGCGAGTGCAACAACATGAGAGGCATCACAGCCTGTATAAGACCCGACACTACAACATTTCACACGTAAATGGCGAGGCTTTGGCGTGAATTAAACCCCAAAAAGCCTTGACGTGTTCGTACGGGTTGTGCGCTGGAGGCAAACGACGGCACAAGGGGTCAAGTTGAGCGCCATGATTGAGCGTGTGTGAGCCGTCTGGTAGCTGAGACGTGCAGTGGGGGAGACCCGGCTGTGTGTACGTCGCATCCACACGCATTTCCGAGCCTTTATTCGCTTCTATGGCGGGAGTAATGTGCGTTTTAGAAACAAACAGAAAGCGTGGGGTCATTCGTACATGTGCAATGGGGGGGGGGGCGAACTCGGCCTGCTGGTTCAATCGTGTTTGCGCTGCAGCAGAAATCTAAACAAACGGGGTGCTTTGTTCGAGCCCTCGAGTGGTTCCGTCCATTTAGAAAGCATGCGCCGCGGATGGAGAGTGCACACACTGGAAGCCCGCCTGTCTTCAACGCGGCAGCAAGTGTAAAGGTTTCAAAATAAATATTCACCTTCCCGCCGCATGCCCACTTTTAAGCACTTCTTAAGTCGGCAGTATTGGCACTGGTTCCGGTGGTGCTGGTCGATGGGACAGTTCCTATTGGCGCGACACGAGTACGTTAAGTTCCTGCGTACACTCCTCTTGAAGAAACTTTTGCAGCCCTCGCAGGTGAACTGGCCGTAGTGCTTGCCGCTCGACTTGTCCCCGCACACCACGCATTCGATGTGCTGCTGGCTCTGCCCCGAGTTCTGGCTGCCCTTGTCCCCGGCCGTGCCCGGCGTGGACGGGGGTCCCGGCTGGCTCGGGGTCTGCGGGGTGTGCGGCGCCGCCGACGCCGCCTGCTGCTGCTCCCTCGACGGCTGCGCTGCGGGGTTGGGGCCGCTCGGAGGTCCTCCGGCCACGTCTTCCTGCGGATCTCGCCACACGCTAACTACCATTGCCATATCTCGGCCCCGGAAAGTGCTGTAGAGCGAAATGGTCGCTGCTGGTTCTGGAGCGTGTATGGGAGAAAAAAAAAGCTTTTCTGCTAGATGGCCGCAAAGTCAAATCGGTGCACGGAATCTCATAGATGAGGAGGGGGAAGTCAATACATTCAAAATAGCGGCGGACGGCTGGAAAGGAACGACCCGATCACGATATGCAAGTATCGGGAGGCCAGTTCCAAGGTAAATTGCACTGAGCCATTCAGGAATCCCCACTCGTGGAGGAAAAGGCGAGTCCAGACGTGTTAGGGTTAAAAAAAACCCCACTTTGATGGAAAAATAGCCACAAAGGAAAAGCACTTCACACGAGCGAGTATTTCTACAAATAAATAAATAAATAGAAAAAAAAACCTTCTTGTGACGGAAAGACGCTGGATCCAAAGTGCTGCGGTGTATAAATTCCTTTCTCCTTTTCTCCCAGTCTGTCTTCGCTGTGTGCGCAGCGCAGCGAACGCACACACACGCGCGCACACAAGCACAAAAACTGCAGATTTGGCGCGTCTATATTCTTAAATAAAGATCATGGTCATCTTCATCATCATCATCATCTTCTCGAGGCGAGCAGCCGCGAATAGAGTCCACGCCGTGTAAGACTTTCACCTCTCCTCCAGCTGGAGCCACGGAGAAAAGATATCACAGAAGGGAAAAAAGCCAGCCAGCCAGCCAGCAGCAGCAGCAGCAGCAGAAGAAAAAAAACAACTAGTAGAATATGCAAGAAGAAAAAGAAGAGAGAGCCTCCCAAAAAATGCTTTAAAGGTAGAGGAGCTGCAGAGCAATGTTTCCGAAACGGGGGGATCTGCGCGAATGTCTGTATATAGTGAACTTTGACACTACTATTGAAACTGACACGTTTCTATGGAGATCGCTGAGCCTTATATGGTGCTCATGTCAAGGAGCCAAGAGAGGGGCTGCTAGAGACTGATAATCAAAGGCGACTGACTGGCCAGAGCCCCGCATAGAGGAGGAGGAGGAAGAGGAGGAGGGGGAGAGGTGAGAGAGAGAGAGCGAGAGAGAGAGAGGGGGGAGAGAGAGAGGAATGGGAGGCTGAGGTTATAGCCAAGCCCTCTCTCGCTCTCTATTGGTTGGAGTCCCGCTCTTGCTCTGTGTGCTGTAAAAAGTGTCCCATTTTAGAGATGGGCAAGTTCAAATCACATGTTTTGTCTCTTATATATAAATGCAGTTATTTCTAATAGCAGGATGTTCATTTGGAATACGCTTGGATGACAACATTCATTTGTTTATTTTTATTTAGCTGCCACTGTTTTTGTTGTAAAGGAGGTCTCAATGTCATTTTTAAAAATGTTGAATTTTTTTTTTATTTGACTCGTCTATTCGTGCAATTCATCATTTCCGTCGAACCTGCTCCACTGTGCGTGGTTGTGGACATTTTTTGCAGCGTTGTCATATCACCACTGGGGGCTCTCTTCTTCTTCTTCTTTTTTTTTTTTTTTGAACATTTTATTTTCGATATTTTTGACAGACACAATTTACATCAAGATCGCTCGCTCCTTCACCGCCATTTACTTTAAAACCTGATTACTATGGCTCGTCTTTTGTGGGCAAAAAAGGAGAAAGACGTAAGAGGAACCCCTGGATAGAATGGCAGAAAAACATGCGGGGGGGAAAAAATAAGGGGGACAAAGCTTTTACCCTCGGCAAATAATCCTCTCAAAGTGTGGGGTGGAAGTGGTGGTCTCTGGTTGTCTTGGGCTGGTGTCTTTATTCCAAAATGTGTCATGCTTAGGATGGGAGCTCATGCCTGTGTGGGAGCTTCGGCATGCGCATTGCGGTACACGCGCTGTGGAAACGCTCCGGTGTGGCTGATGAAAACTTACATTGTACTGTGAAAGAAACACAAGAGGACGCAATTAGAAGAATTCTTCATTTAAACAACCCGTGTTACACGAATGGTATGCAAAGATGTCGGCGTTAAGAAAAAAAAAAGGGAGGGGTGCTGCAGCAATTAGCCGGGTCCCTTCTTGTGACTAATGACATCGCCGGTGTCACATAATGTCTTCATAATGACACTCATTGACAATCATGTGAACTTATTTGGGGAATTTGCATGGGGATTCCGGCTTTTTGTGTGAGGATTTCTGCAGGCTTTCTCCCCCCCCCCTCCTGTGAGTTAAAAAAAAAAAAAGAAAAAATGGATCGCGCTGCCATCTAGCGTACATTGTACAATTACAACCTCCATAGGAGCGAATGCACAAGTCATTTAAAATGGATTTTTAACAGCAAATGTTTGTTTTTGTGTTTTTAAAGGCTTCCATGACGAATGAACATTTAATTGATCATGTTTTGACCTGTCCTATTAATAGTGTGAGAGTGATAGGAGTGCATCATAGCGGTGAAGAGGAGCCAAAACTCCATACAAATTAGAATACATTTCGATAATAATGAGTGAAATATACCCGAAAAAGAGAAAATCACTTTAAACACAAAGGCACTGTGAAGGAGGGGAACACTATCCGTTAATATCGGGTTTCATAATAAAATTAAGTAAAATCAAATAAATGGAAGTCCTTGCAGAGAATTCTTCAAGCATGCAGGCATATTGTTCGATAAATGGAGCTTAAATATGCAAGTGAGCCCCTTTGGAAGCTCATAGGAGGGATGGCTTGTATTTTCCCTTTCTTTAAAGTACTCGACAAGAGAGCTCTCTCTCCTCGTCTCTGTCTCGGACAACTCCAATGAAAACTCCCCGGCCATGTCTGCAGCGCTTTGAAAAGGTGAAACCAATCAGATTAAATCGGACAATATATTTTTCTTCTTTTTTTTTCCTCCATGCAAGTGTATCATTAGGATTTAACTTCACATATTGGGGTGGGTTTTTTTCCCCTCTTTTTTTTTTTTTTTTTGGTCGGAAAAAGGGGCTTTCGCGTGCAGGACAGGAGGCGAGCACACACGGAGGGGCAGCGAATGGGGAGCAGAGCTGGGGGAAGGAAAAAGGGAGAAAGTGGACCACAGCGGGGCATTGAGAAGAGAAGCACCGGCGATGGCGTTCTGCATGGAGCACCAGGTTCGTGACATTTGCAAAAAAAAAAAAGAAAACAAAAAACAAAAGGCAAGTGATCTATCCAGTTTTCCTATTTGCACTGCGTTGCATTTCAACGCCAAGTTAATTCAGTAGGCGGCGGGAGCGACAATCTTGCACGCACCCCGACTCGTTCCAGAACTTTGTACCCGGTGGACAAGCGCGTCTTTGCCGTCCCATGATTAACCGCGACCGGGGCTCGGATGCCGGTCATCCAAACCGGACAAGGACACCACATCGTCGGCTTTTAGACACCGCGGACCCCCTTCGGAACGTGGCGCGCTTCACCTGCATGCGAGGTTATTTGATATTTATGAGATCGATAGCACGCCGAGATAGCGTCAAAGCATTAAAAGGCTGATCAAGGAGGACGAATGGGTGCTATTTTAACACCGTGCCTGGCCAAGTGCCGCTCCGCTCAAGTGCCCATTTTTCAAGATTGTACCACAACCACGGAGGATGGCGTAATTCCACTTTAACACCCGCCTTTGGTAATTCATCAGTGATGCATTATTAATTAGGAAAGGATAATATCACAGGAAGCTCTTTCAATTAAGGTCAGGTTAACTTGCAGTTTGGATAGACGATTTCATTTTATTGAGAGAAAGGGCGACTAAGGGACATATTTATTGTGCATTTATGAAGCTACTGTAAACACTTAAAGTAATTTAATTACTACTCCAACGCGAACAAAACGTCATCTAGACAATATCTTAATGCCTTGAAGATGAACGTTTATTCGTTTATATTTACAGCTTTCTGATTTGTGACGTTTTCAAGTTTTGGATACTAATATTCGACGTCGCGTGTGTGTGTGCGCGCGCGTGTGAGTGTGTGTGTGCGTATGTGTGTGCGTGTGTGTGTGTGCGTGCGCATTTGTTTATGAGAGTGTGTTGTGGTCACATCTAAGATGATGTATTGATGCCCAGACTCAGTCTTGGGTGTAATATAGCTGAAAGACGAGGCTAT